CCCATCATAAAGACCTCACCCTCTCTAATCCTCATAAAGCAAAGAGTAAGGTCCATGCTGGCTGCCACATTCTATTTCCGGCTGTCTAGGGCACAGCCCAATCCTGGGACGCAACTAGTTCCTCTCTCCCTGGGCTCTAGGACACTGTATTCTTTCTGGACGTTAAATAGTCATGCACAAAGCAGATGCCCAATTCTCAATCAATCAGGGAGGTAGTAAGCTAAGAGTAGACCCCCGTTCTCCAAAGGAGGCACTTCCATGGGGCCCCACAAAGGCCACCCCTACAATACACTCTGAAGGAAGATACAATCAATTCTAGAACTTCCAAAGCTCCATCCTAACTACTCAAATTTTGTACAGGCAAACCTTGTGCCTAATACTCCTGATTATCTCAGTCATCACTGGAAAAAGGCCCTCTGGTTATCCAACATCTACACTGGGCTCTCCTCTCAATATCAGTGAAAACAATCCCTTGTTATTAGGTGCCATCAAGTACGACTCATAGTGATCCTAAGAACAACAGATTTGAACCCTGTCCTATCCTATGCCATCTTCACACTTCCTGACACACTTCTTGCCCACTGCACCAGTCACGGTGGCAGTCTACCTAGTCAAGGGTCTTTCTCTCCTTCATTGAACCTCCACTCTTCCAAGCATCATGTTCCTCTCCAAGGAATAGCCCCCTTCTAGCAACATGTGAGGTGAAGTCTCATCACCTTTGCCTCCAAAGAGCACTCTGACTGCACCCTCTCCAAGACATTATCTGTTCTTTGGGCAGCCCATGGGATGTTCAGTGCTCTTTCCCAACACCAGAGCTAAAAGGTACCAATTCTTCTGGAATCCTTATTCATTCTCCAGCTCTCAGATGCATAGCAAGTGATTGGAAAGACCATGACCTGCATCAGAGGCATCTTAGTCCTCAAACTGACATCATTACTCCTCAATAATCTGGACAGGTCCCTAACTGTAGGTTTTCCTAGTGCAGTGTGTCTTCCTATTTCCTGACTGCTGGTACCAAGGGTGTTAACTGTAGATACAAGCAAGACAAAGTTGTTGACAGTTACAATCTCTTCTCCATCCACTATGATGCTGCGCATCGGTCCAGGGATAAGAATCTTTGTATTCTTGACATTAAGATTCAATTAAAAAAAAAACAACAATACAATCCATATGGAAGGTTGCATTCCTTGACCTTCTGCAACAAGTGCTTCAAATCTTCCTTACATGCAGGTTAGTGAGTCTCCCTCCAATCCTGATGCCACATTCCTCTTCAAAGAGTCCAGCTTCTTGAATAGTTTCCTTGCCATACAGATTAAATAGGTGTGAAGAGAGACTACAACCTGATACCCTCCCTTCTTAATTTTAAACCATGCAGTGGTCCCCTGCTCTGTTCATGCAATTGCTTGCTGGTATAAGTTTTGCATGAGCCCAATTAAATGTTCTGGGACTCCCATTCTTTTCAATTAGCCATACTTGTTATGATCCACATGGTCAAATGCCCTTTCAGGTAAAAGCCCTTTACTTTCACCCTCACATACCAGGCACCATCAGGGCCAGAGAATATACTGTAGGAGTTCTGCTTGCCATTTCCAAGCTACTTCTTCACTTTCATCTACAGAAACCTGAAGCCCTGGGTATCACTTCCTGTCTTTCCACTTGCTTACTCAAGGATGGGAATCTCATCCGTGTGATGAACTGCCTCAGAAAATCAATGAGGCCCAGCTGGGTTGGTTCTGACTCCAAAGAACACAATCACAAATCTCAAATAAGGAGTTCTGGTGACATAGTCCAAAGTTTACAAAGTAGACTGGTTTTCCATGAATTCATACACATTTTTGTTTTATTACCATTAACTGTAACACACACTTTTCCCATATCTTCATTTCCATTCATGGAAATTCTTCTTACCACTAGGCCACCAGAGCTCCCCAAAAGCAGTTGTTGTAATGTGTCGTTGAATCGCCTGTGACTCATAGCGATCCTACGTATAACAGCTCTAAACCCTGCTCTATCCTGTGGCAATCTCATTGTCTCTGACACACCTACCCCTATTCTCCCATGCATGACTTCCCTATCTTAGGACTGGTCCTGCCTTGCAACACGACAAAAGTCAGTTAGATGAAGCTTCAAAATCCTTGCCTCCAAGGAGCAGCCTGGCTTCACCTTCTCTAGGAAGAACCTGTTTGTTCTCCTAGCAGTCTATGGTATATTCAATACTCTTCTCCAATACCACAACAGATTCATCCTAGAGAGGGTTAAACCAGGCTGCTCCTTGGAGGCAAGGATTCTGGGGCTTCATCTGACATACTTTGGACATGTTGCAAGGAGAGACAGGTCTTTGGAGAGGGACATCATGCTGGGTAGAGTAGAGGGACAGTGCAGGAGGGGAAGACCCTCTAAGAGGTGGACTGATTCAGTGACTGGGGAAATCGGGAAGGGTGTGTCAGAGGCAATGAGACTAGCACAGGATAGAGCACGGTTTAGGGCTGTTGTACACAGGGTCGCTATGAGTCGCAAACACTCGACGGCACATAACAACAACAACAATACCACAGCTCAAAGGCATCAGTTCTTCCTAGTCATTGTCCAGGCTTCTCATGCATAGCAAGTAATTGCAAAGACCATGGCCTGTATCAGGTGCACCTTAGACTCGAGAATGACATCTGTTGCTCTTCAGTACTTTGGAGAGGTCTCTCACAACAGACTTTCCCAGTGAAATTTGTCCTTTAATTTCCTGGCTTCTGGTACCAAGAGTGTTGACTGTAGAGCCAAGCAAACTGAAGCCGTTAACAATCTAATCGCTTCAGCATCTATCAGTTGGCCCCCTGGTTAAAACAATTACGTTCTTCATGTTGAGCTTTAATCCACATTGAAGGCTGAATCCCTTGACCTTCCGCAACAAGTCCTTTGGATCCTACTCAGTTTCAGCCAGCAGGGTTGTGTTACCTGCATAATGCAGACCGTTGATGAGTCTTCCTCCAATCCTGATTCCACATTTCTCCTCATGAGCCCAGCTTATAATGAGCCCGTATAATCTGTTTTGCATATAGATTGAAAAAGTGTGGAGATACAAGAATTTGGTTTATAACTTGTTCTAGATTTACTAGCATTATTCTTTTCTTCTAAAAACAAAAAAATTGCTAAGGAGATTAGAGAGATCCAGAAGTAGGTCCAAAATGACATATTGGGCTGCTAACCCAAAAGTCACTGGTTTGACTATAAAAGCTACCCCATGGGAAAAAGATAGGCAGACTCCTCTCATGTAGCCTTAGAAATCTAAGGGAGGGCCATCATAAGTCAGAATCCACTCCACGCCAGTGGTTTTAGTTTGGATTTTTGTACTTTCATGTTCATTAAATATTTCTAGTTCTTAAGTACTTTTTGACTATCAGTGTAATATGCATTTATTTGCTCTAAAATACTGTGCTTTGTTTCTACTTTCCTGTATTTTCTAACAACTCATAAATATTGTTCCTTAAAAGTAAAGAAAACCAAAATAATATTGGCTCCTGTAATTTGACTGTGTGGGAACATGACACAACCTTGCTTGTCTAAAGTGAAGAAGATGTGAAGCATTTGCTGGTGAAGATCAAAGACTGTGGCCTTCAAAAAGGACAGATCACACCACAAGGTGGAGAAAGCAAAAATCTTCACAACTGGACATGATAACTGGAGAAAAGTCTGTAGCTGTCAACAATGATTTCATTTTACCTGGATTCACAATCAATACCTAGGAAAGCAACAGTGGAGAAATCGAATGACATTGCTATGGGTAGATGTGCTCTGAAAGGCTCTGTTGAAAGGCAAAAATGTCACTCGAGAATGAAGGTGAAAAGCTGGACAATTAATAAGAACTGTTGTTTCTGAAGGTGGGTGAACAATAGCGAATGTACGGTGGATTTTTCCGTTTCTCCGAATAGGAGACCGGAATGCTTTTTAGAAATATAGATGGTACATCATTAGAATGATCCTTTTGATCCCTTTTAACCCTCTTCTTTTGTTAGCTAATTGGTACTGTTATTATTGAATGACACATAATTGCACATGTGCATAATTTATATTGAAATAAATTTGCTTGTAATTGAAAAAAAAAAAAAAAGAAGAAGACATATAGATGGCGAGAGACTTCCTCTAACACAATCGGGCACGACGGAAAGCTAGGCCAGTCCCTGGAGGACAGAATGTTTAACAGGGGGTCAGTGAATGGATGGCTTGACCCAATGGCTGCAAAAATGAGCTAAAAGATGGTAAGCCAGGTACACGTCTGGACTCTTCGGTTGTCCAAAGTGTCACCATAAATAGGAATAGAAATCAATAGCACGGAGATGTTGCTAATGCCCTTCAACAAGGAGGGGGGCAAGAATAATTTAGAATAACGAAGAACTCATACATTTGTCATTTCCAAGAGCCACTGCGATCGATCCTCCCCTTCCCCGTCTACTCCCCTAGTTTCCATGAAGTACAATTAAACGGCCCTGAAAAGCTCAAAGGTCATCTTTGTAATTGTGGTCAGGGCGGATCTTCGGAAGCTCTACGGATTCCAGCCCAGTGTCCACTCCACTCCTCCGTTTCATCAATATTTCCAGGGCGCGCGCCCCTCGGAAGTCCCACTATTTTCAGACCTCCGCGGGTCCCTCTACCCAGCCTTGCGCACCGCCTTCCGCCCCCACCGGCCGCCGCGCCTCCCCTCCCGCGCACACCTGGAGGGGCGGGCCTCCCGCGGTCCCCGCACCTCCGCCTCCCGGTGACATCCAACAAAGGTGACTCGCCCGGGGCCGGGCCGGGAGGCGGAGCCGCGGGGTCGGGGAGGCCGGCGCCCCGCCCCGCGCGCACCTAGAGCGCTCGCGGCCCTCGGCTCGTTCGCAGCCTCCTTCCCGCTCGCGGCCCACCTCACCTGGGTCCTCCAGACGCGGACGTCGCGGGTCGCCGGCCGCCAGCGGCTCCTCGGTCTCCCCTCGCGCCCTCTCGGCCGCCCGACGCTCTTCCCAGGCGCGCGCAGCATGGCGCCCCCGCAGGTCCTCGCCTTCGGGCTCCTTTTGGCGACGGCGGCGGTGGCCACTGCTCAGAAAGGTGAGCGGCGGCACCGGGACGCAGTTATGGACTGTCCAGGGCGCCGGCGACACGGGGAAGTGAGGAGGGGCGCGCGCCTTCCCACCCCGAGTGGACGGCGCGGATGCTCCGCGTTCTCCGAGCGCGCGCGAGGGCGGGAAGGCCGACTGGGCGCCGGCGGGAGCGGCTTCGAGGGGGCGGCCTCTTTTTGCGGCTATGGACTCGGCTCTAGGGAAGTGGCCTGGGGACCGGCGGGGGCCTTGCTGTCCACGTCCGGGGACCCTGGGAGCTGAGTGGGCGTGGAGGGTCCGCGCGGCCTCGCCCATAACCTCTGGCCGGGACGGACTTGGAGTTCTAAGGGGCCTGGCTCCGCCCAGTCCCGAGGCCGCGGCGGCCAGCCCCGCCCGAGCACCTGTGGAGAGCCCCGGATGTGGCCTCGGGCGGGCGCAGGTGGCTGGGCGCCGCGCGGCCGCTGCGCACCTGCGCGCGGGAGCCTAGTGGTCAGAGCCGCGCTGCAATCCCAGAGGCTCGGGGCTCGAATCCACAGGCTGCTCCGGGGGAAAAGGATGGGCCGTCTCCTCCCGTGCAATTAAACGTCCTCTGAAAACCTGCTACGGGTCAATTCCAACCCGACAATACATATCAACAACAAAGACAAGTTTTATGTCCGGTTCATTGCACGGAAGGCTGACATCACGGCCATAAAGAATGGAAAAGACCGCAAACAATTCCCTTACTTAAAGAGAATCCCATAATTAAGGCTTTGGTATTTTTTACTTTCAGATATTGCCCTACACCTCAATGGATTCGTTTATATCTTGGGTGTGTTGGTGTTTTTATTGTTTGGTGTGGTTTGGGTTTTTTTTTAACCCCCACAACCATATCCACCAGTTTTCCGTTTCCTGTAGTCTTAAATGGTGTCAGGAAACTTTAGCATGTTTGACAACAATCTGGAACAAGGGGTGCATTGCGAAGTGGGCTGGGGAGGGAGGAGGAAGAAAATACGCAAAAATGAAGGGAAAAAAAGGAAAATTCTAGCATGTAAAGATGGACGTGTAGTTTGATGCAAATTTTTCCTACTCTGGAATGAACATCTTGGCTGCAACTCTTTTTTTTTTTTTTTTCCTGCAACTCTGTAAATTTAGTGCCTAGCAGAAGAGTGGCAAGTAGCTAAAAACCTTCTAGAAAAAGTTTTGTGCTCTTATTAGTTGTATTTTCAAAATAATACTGTTAAATCAACTCTTAGTTTTCTAATATAAGTCTAAATATTTTATTTGAAATTGCTTTAAGATAGTGATTATCTATGGTAGGCACATATTCAGAACGTAGGTACTTGATCTTTTTAACATTTCACTATTTGAAGATTAAAAATATATTCTTGCATATGATTTTAATCCCTGAAGACTGCCACTGTGTTTTCTCCTTTTGTGGTCTCATTATTGAATTTGGTACTGGACAGATTATAGGCATTCATAACTTATAGGCTTCTAACTTAAGCAAGGAAAAATTAAAGTCACCTGGGGGTATTTAGGACACAAAGAAGGACCTTTGAATTTGAGATGCTATTTAAAAAAAATTATTTTAATGCCTCTGTTCCTAATAATCTCAGAACTAGACAAATTAATGTGGGGGGTTTGCCAGTTTGAAGTTAAAACGAATTTATGGCGAGTCAAGTATAAAATTAGTAAAGTTGATGTTAGTGGCTCCTAGATTGGGTGTTAAACATCACTTTCAGAAGGCTAGTTTCTGAAAACTAGGATTTAATTTACTAAGGAAATCTACATATAAAGATATCTCAATTCTTTTGGAAACTGAGTAAAAGTTGAATACATTCCCATTAATCTTAGTAAAGAAAAACCTGGTGATCCTTATTTAGAAAATGGGGTAGGGAGAGGAGAGAATGTGTCAGTTCATTCCAAGGATTAGAATGACTGATTTTGGGAAATGAGATAGTTACTACAAGATAAATGTTCATCTAGCAAGAAGAGAGGAAGCTGAGTAAAGGAGTATGGAAGAGGCAAGATCAGGTGTGATGTTTGGAGGGCTGGATTATATATATATATATGTGTGTGTGTGTGTGTTATATCTTGTATATAAACTGGCACTTTGAAAACATTCTAGAAAAATTGTAGCTGGAAAAAAATTAAAATTTTTTTGGCTTAAAAAATTCATATACATTGTGTTTCACACATAAGGACAAATACTGCATAAGATCATTATTGTAAAAATAGAAGTTCAACTAATAACATGTATGAGAACCCAGGGGGGATATGGGTGGGAGTGGAGGGGTGAGGATGGGTAGGGGCAGAACCGCAGGGTTGCAATTTAGTGGGTGGAGCAGGGGAGGGGGAGAAGGAGCTTGGTGAAAAGACAGGGTAATGATGGGCAAGGTCCAATGGTGATTAATTTTATAAAACAATGCATGAGAATGATTGTAGGAAAAGACCATTTTTTTTTAAGGCTTTGTGCCTTTGTAAGTTGGGCATTGTCAGAATTTAATGTAGCCGGCATACTAGAGTTGAAAGTTTTATCCACACTTTTCCCCCCTAAATCCTAAAAGATAAGAAATTTATTTAGGGGGAAAACTAAGAGAAAAAGGTAAAAGTTCCTGTGAGAGAGAAGGGGTATGTGTGTATGTGTGTGAGAGAGAGAGACAGATAGACAGACAGTGGTGAAGAAGTCCCTTCAAGCCCTAAATTCTGTGAATAAAGGGCTGATTAAGTGCTAGAGCTGGAGTAAAGCTGGCCAGGCTAATAGGAAAGCATCCAATGAACCAAAGGCCAGTTGAGAACAGAAGTGCTGTCTGTCTTACTCAGTCTCTAAGTTACAGCGCTTAACAGTAAACACTGCATTTGTTAAAGAAAGGCATGAAAGAGCGATGATAAGAGAGGTAGGTGACTAGAATATCAGAAAGGATAGACCCCCATCTGCTGAAGTGAGTTGTGAACTGTGGGCATTTGGTGCTGAGGAGGAACAGGTGGGCAGTGCAGGGAACAAAGAAAGCCTTGAGACTTATGCAGAAAACAGAAAATGGGCGAGTGAAGGGCCGGACAGGGGAGCCCCTCCTCTTAAAACTGACAGTTTTGCAGACCCAGTAGAGGGTTCCTGTGTGTGAGATGTCTGAGGGCCACGCTCCAGACGAAGGATTTTCAAAGGTGGTTAGACAAAGCCCTGTCTGCAGCATTCAAGGTTCGCCCGAGTCTCCCCTCTGAAGGTGTTCACAGGCTTTCTTCTGAATTTTCAGCTGGCTGCCTTGGCGTTAGCAAATTCTCCAGACTCACAAACCCTATTAGCACTGTCACAGTGACTCCTTAAAACACACTTGTGCTCGCAAGACAGGGACACACCTGAAGAACAGAACCAGTAGCCAGAGGTCTTGGACAGCTCAGAAGCCAGCTCCAGGGGAAAGTTGAAGTCAGGCTAGACCTTTATGCACATCTTTATTTTTCCCAATTATTATTTTTTTTGTGTGTGTACCGTCAAATCCGATCTGACTTGTCTCCAGCAGAGCTCCTGGTGGATTTGAACCGCGTACCTCTGGGATTGTCTTGCTACTAGCTCACCAGAGCTCTCTCTTTATGCACATCTTAAAGAAGATTTTTTTTTTAAAAAAACAATCTTTAAAATTTGTTTATATTTTTGTTGGTGGTGAGATTATACATAGTAGAATGTACTCTAGTGTTCAACACTTGGTGACTTCTTCAAGTTGTTCTCAGTCGTTCTTTTTCTTATTGATTCTCATTAATATCTAAGATTCCTGTCTAATCTGTAAAGTTGCTTGGGTCAGTATTACCTGTTGTTGTTACTCGTTGGTGCTGTCAAGGTGACTGTAACTCATAGCAACAGATCTGAACCTTGTCCTGTCCTGTACCATCCTCATAACCTCCACCAAGTTCACTCTGTTAGTCAGTCTCCTTGAGGGCCTTTCTTTCTCTGACCCTCCACCTTCAGTTCTTAAAAGAGGATATTGTTCAAGGCAGACTTTCTTTCCAGTGAAGCAAAACTATCTCTTGGTTTGTTTGTTTGTTTGTTTTTTAATTTATTTTAATTTTGTTATTTTTGTGTGGGTGTACCGTCAAATCAGATCTGACTGGTACAGGAGGAGATCGTCCCTCCTTCCCCGACAGAGCATCTGGTAGATTCGAACCGTGCACCTCTGGGATTGTAGTTGCAGCTCCTTGCCACTAGGCCCCCAGAGCTCCCCTTATCTCTTGGTTTTAAGGACAAATCAGGCCATATTTTCTGTTACAGTGGATTTTTTTCTCTCGCTCTCTCTCTAGATTGTATCTGTGAAAACTACAAGCTGACCACCAACTGCACTACGAACAGCAATGGTGAATGCCAGTGTAATTCATACGGGACCCAAAACACTGTGATTTGCTCCAAATGTAAGTAGAATGCCTTTACACTTTCTTAGACAAAATAGTTCTCTAATCCATGTGTCCTCAGTGGGGGAAAAGTTACTGGCTCACATCTAAATCACATTGATCTGCTGAAGTAATTTCATTTCTGAAACGTCATAGAGTGAATTGTGGACACACATAAATTGATAATAGTCTTTGGCTTTGGGCTTTTGGTACTTAATGAAGGTGTGGGTTGTTTTTGGTGTGGGGTTTTTTTTCCTGTCAGCATACAATGACAGTTCTTTTTCAGCCTGATGTTATGCCTTCTTTTTAGTGGCTACCAAATGTTTAGTGATGAAGGCAGAAATGACTGGCTCCAAGTCTGGCAGAAGAGCAAGACCAGAGGGGGCCCTGCAGAACAATGATGGGCTCTACGATCCTGACTGTGATGAGAAGGGGCTTTTTAAAGCTAAGCAGTGCAACGGCACCGCCACGTGCTGGTGTGTGAACACGGCCGGCGTCCGAAGGACTGACAAGGACACAGAAATCACGTGCTCCGAGCGCGTGAGGACCTTGTGAGTCAGCCTGTCTTTATTGTCTTCATGCTTCTTAGAATTGTTTTGTTGAACTTATTTTCCGAGTAGGTGATATGCTTTTTTGGCATAGAATTAAAAAAGATGAAGAGTAAACAGTGAAAAGTCTCTTTCTCTCTCTACCCCCTTGGCATCCTTATCCCCAGATCCTCGATTTACCTCCATAGCATTTATGTCACCACTTTATTCTGTAACTTTCCAGAGATATACGTGTTCTAGCAAAGAAGGCGCGGTTGTTGGAGAATATGACCTTGGTGAGAGCAATGATGTCATGATGGAGTTTTTAAACAATAATTTAATCATTGGAAATCCATTTTTTTTCAACAACATAAATGACAGCTCTGTGCATGGACCTCTCCACATGGAACACACAAGAATCGAATTGACTCCATCTATGGAAAGGAACGGTAGAGAAGCTCAAAATACCAACAGTGAGAAAAAGGCCAAGGGCTGACGGGTAAGTTCAGGTTGAAACTGAAGACAATGGAAACAAGTCCAAAATAGCCAACATGTGGAGCCAGTGCCTCCAGGACAGGCTGGACTTCGGTTTTATCAACGTGTGAGTATAGTCCACCTGCATTTAGAGCCTGTCTCAAGAATCGATTTGACTCAGTGAACGCTAATGGTGAAGACCAGGTGAGTTATGAGATCACATCAAGAATATCACACATGGAGAAAGCAAAAGGTTATTGCAAAGACAGGAAAGAGAGAAAAGACCAAATGGATGTCAGAAGAGACGTTGAAACTTGCTATTCAGTTGTCAGTAGCTAAAGCAAAAGGAAGAAATGAGTAAGCTCTGGTGGCCTCCTGGCAAGAAGCTGCACTGCAGTCCCAGAGGTGTGCAGTTTGAATCCACCAGATGCTCTGCTGAAGAAGGAGGAACAATCCCCTCCTGTACCAGTCATATCCGATCTGCCGGTATACACACAAAAAATATTTTTTTAAAAGGAAGAGATGATAAAAGAGCTGAGCAGAAGATTTCAAAGAGCAGCTGGAGAAAGTAAAGCATTATTATAGATACATATGTGTGTATATGTTTTTAATTTTTTATAATTGTGTAAAGATCCAGAGTTAGAAACCAGAATGAATATGCTTTGATGTTTCTCAAGCTGAAAGAACTGTGGAAAAATTAAAATCTTGAGCTGCACTATCAAATGATTCTTATGGCAGACATTTGAACAACGTGGGAAACATCAAAAGAAGATGATAGGAACATACAGTCGCTGGATCAGCTGTTTCACAAAGCAGCGTATTATCAAGAACTGATAGTGCTGAAGTTCAGCCTGTCCTGAAGGCACTGGCTCCAGGAATTGGTGGAATACCAAGTTGCAGTGTCCTAAGATGCCGATGCAGTGCCAGAAGTGCTCACTCATCTATGCAAGAAATTTGGAAGAGAGCTGTATGACCAGAAGAGACCCATGTTCATAATGAAAGGTGGTTCAACAGAATGTGGAAATGATTGGTCAGTATCATTGATACCACATGTAAGTAAAGTGCTGGAGATAAATTTAAAAAGGATTGTTTGACTACATCAAAAAGGAAAACACCCAGAAATTCAAGGTGGATTCAGAAGAGGCCATAAAACAAGGAATACCATGTCTGAAGGATCTTGGCTGTGTGGATCATAATAAACATTAGATAACGTTGAGAAGAATGGAAATTCCAGAACGCTTGACTATGCTCATGTGGAATCTATAAATAAAGCAAAAAAGCAATCATTTGAACACAACAGGAATAAAACAACAGGAAAGCTGTATGTCAGGGTCATATTCTTTGAGGATATAGTCTGTATAATAATCTGGAAGACTAGACCATGAGGGATTAGAGGAAGATCCCACAATCAAGGGATTAGATGAAGACTCAGCAACCGCCTTCGATACGCAGATGATACAACCTTGTTTACTAAAAGCAAGTAAGTCTTAAACCACTCACTGATGACTACAAAGACTGTGGCTTTTATCTGGATCAGACATCAACATAACAAAAATCCTCAGCTGGACCAGTAAGCAACATCATGATGAACAGAAAAATAAGGGTTGGCAAGGAGTTTGTTTTATTTTGATCTACAACTAAGGCTCACAAAAGAAGCACCCAAAACCTTACATGAGCTATTGCACTGAATGGATACTTGGCAAGAGACCTCTCTTAAAGCAGAGATGTCACCTTCAGGACTAAGGTGTGCCTGACTCAAGAGATAGATAGTATTTTCAGTCACCTCTTACTTGTGTCTAGGGAGCCCTGTTGCCTTAGCCACAAGAAGGTGCACTGTAATCCCAAAGGCACACGGTTTGAATCCATCAACTATTCTCCAGGTTGATAGTCTATCTCCTCCTATGTGATTTATTGCCTCTGAAAGACTACTGGAGGGTCAGCTACAGGAACGTTCAGACTGGATGGCACACAACAACATATGCATGCGAAAGCTGGAAAAGGAGTGAGGAAAACCAAAAAAGGAAGTATACCTTTTAATTATTAGGTTGATGTAAATTATTGAGTATTACCACAGACTTCCAGAAGAAGGAAGAACTCTATCTTGGAAGATACATAGGCAGATGTTCATTAGAAAGGAAGAGGTGAGATTTTGTCTCACGTGCTTGAAACATTTATTAAGAGGGACCAGTCCCTAGAGAAGGGTATCATACTTAATAAAGTACAAGGCCATTGAATAAGAAGGGATCAGTTTACACATTGGCTACAGCAATTGCCTCAGACATAGCAATGACTGTATGTGATGCAGCACCGGTCATTATTCCATTCTACTGTGTGGTAGTTAATCAGTTGAAACCTGCTTAACAGTAACTGTCTGTGGGTATGGTTTATTGTTACATAATCAGTAGAACAATAAACATAATTTCCTCTTTATTTTTATTTACCATGATTCCTTTTCAAGTTAGTGTTAAGTTACATTGATAATTTGAACTGTTTATATATTTATTTACTGTATTTTAAAAATTATAATTATTCTCTTTAGAGATTAATTAATGAAATAGAATCTGCTCATGCTGAATTGATTAGAAGGCAGAAAACGGTTAGGACCACTTCTGTCTTCTGAAGCCTCATCATTTTTCCTCATAATTTTTCCTTGTTTCTCATAGTGCCTTTTGATCTTTCTGCTTGAATGTGGTCTGGCACAAACAGTTAAGCCTTGATTTTACATGAACTCATGTGTTATACATAGAAAACAAAAATTCTCACCTGTGGGCCAATACACAACATCATCATAGATTAAGAAAAGATTGGAGTTGTCAACAATTTCATTTTACTTGGACCCACAGTCAACATCCAGGGTGACAGCCAAGAAATCCAAAGATATGTTGCACTGGGGAGATCTACTGTTGAGGAAATCTACTGTTGAGGACCTCACCAAAGTGCTAAAGAGCAACAGTGTCAGTATAAAGACTAAGGTGCACCTGATCCAAGCTATAATATTTTCAGTTGCTTCTTAAATATCTGAAAGTTAGACTGTGACTAAGGAGAACAGAAAAAGAATCAGTGCCATTGAGTTGTGATGTTGACATAAAGCACTGAATGGGCTGCCAAAAGAACAAACAAGCCTATCTTGGAGGAAGTGCAACCAGGGTGCTCTTTGAGAGGCAAAGGTTGTGGAACTTACTCTCACATCCTATAAGCATATTGTCAGGAGGGGCTAGTCTTTGGTAAAAGAGAAGATGATTCTGAATAAGATGGATTGACACAGTGACTATAATAACAGACTCGGATATGTTGGGTTTGGCGAGGATGGCACAGGATAGGACAGGGTTCAGATCTGTTTTTCATAGCTTCACTAATGGACTTAATAGCATGTAATGAAGGAACCACCATATGTTACAGCCAGAGGACAGAGGGTCATTATTAGATAGGTGCTTTCTCATCATGCTTGGAAGTGTGATGGACAGCGCAGGAGACAAGAGACCCCGGGTGAGGTGGATTGCTACAGTGACTGGGACAATGGGGGTTGGTGTGTCAGAATTAGTGAGACTGGCTCAGGACAGGGAAGGGTTCAGAGCTGCTGTACACAGGGTCACTATGCATCGCAGGTGACTCAACCAATAACTTTCTATGACATGAAGCAGGAATGGCATCCACTTCCTAAACAACTTGCCTCCAGAAATTCTATGAACTTTGACAAATGTCGATAGTTGTAGAGGGCTTCAGGCCTTTTGTTCATAGGGTCACCATGAGTCATGCTCAACTTGAAGGCAATCAACAACAACAACAATTCTCCATGTGGGGTGACCTACCACATACTTCCTAACAGTTTTATTCTCTAAAATATTTTATTGTGGTTTAGGTGAAAGCTTCCAAAACAAATGTGTTTCCTATCCAGCAAGTTCCATGAGGCTAGTTAACAGTCAGTTCGTACAAGATGTTGGCTTTCTCTTCATGTCCATCTTGGAGAAATGTTTGTCCAGTTGCCTGCCCCTTTCTGCCTTTTTAATCTTGCTTTTGGGCAAACACTGCCCTTTGGGGCCTTTTAGAACCCACTGTTTCTAGGAGAGTGCTCCTTTGGGCTTTATTGTTTATTCATAGACCTTACTTTGATTTGGCTGAAAAATGAATTTTGGGAGTGGTTAGAATGGGTTCTAATTTATGAAGGATCTCAGAGGGCCAAGGAAGAAACTATGGGCATGTCTATTTTAGAAATTATTTTTGTTAACACTACTGTAATTCCACTTGGAAATTAGTTGTTATTACTAGCTTTTTATTGTGAAAATTGCAGGAGAGACTGAGCTGTTAACAATCAAGTAATTCTGTCTTTGTATTTTGCAGTTGGATCATCATTGAATTAAAACATAAAAGAGAAGAACCTTATGATAAAGCAAGCTTGCAGGCGTAAGTGTTGGTAAAGTCATTATTTTATCCTGTCCCAAATCTTATGCCTGCTAAAAAAATATGTAGGCACAAGTGCTATTAAATAAATTCATTATTCTATCCTGTTCAAATCTTCTACCTCATACCATTAGAAAGACTAAAACAAGCTGACAGGTTTTTCCTGTTTCTGAAAAATAAGGTATACATTTTAAACTTTGTTTTGAAATAGAGTTTTCAAGGAGCTCTGGTGACCTAGTGGCAAGAAGCTGTGCTGCAATCTTGATGGTGCATGGTTCGAAACCACCAGATGCCCCACTGGAGAAGGAGGGGCAATCTCCTCCTGTGCCAGTCTGATCTGATTCGACAGTACACACACACGCACAAAAATAGTAATAATGAAATAGAGATTTTTAAAAAAAGAGTACAACGAACACCTGTAATACCCTTTATCCAAGTTCCCTTTATTATTGGCATTTTGTTGTTGTTGTTGTTGTTATGTGCCATCGAGTCGTTTGCGACTCATAGCGACCCTATGTATAACAGCCCTAAACCCTGCTCTATCCTGTGCCAATCGCATTGCCTCTGACACCCGATTACCCCGGTCACTGAATCAATCCACTTCATAGAGGGTCTTCCCCTCCTGCGCTGTCCCTCCACCCTCCCAAGCATGATGTCCCTCTCCAAGGACCCATCCCTCCTGAAAACATGTCCAAAGTATGTCAGACGAAGCCCCAGAATCCTTGCCTCCAAGGAGTAGCCTGGTTTAACCCTCTCTAGGATGAATCTGTTTGTTTTCTTGGCAGTCCATGGTACATTCGGTACACTTCTCCAGCACCACAGCTCAAAGGCGTCAATTCTCCTTCTATTCTCCTTAGTCATTGGCATTTACTTTTTATTTTATTATATTATTTTTTGTATGTGTACCATCAAATCTGACTGGTACAGGAGGAGAGGAGATTGTCCCTCCTTCTCCAGCAGAGCATCTGGTGGGCATTTACTTTTTGTATGTAGAGAACTCTGGTGATGTGGTTCATAGGGAATTGCATTGCTAACACACAGGCTGACCATCCCTGGTGGTTCGAATCCACCAGCAGCTCCGAGAGACAAAGATGGGCCGTCTCTTACCCAAGTGGTTAACTACTTGAAAATGCAATGGAAGGTCAGCTACGAGTTGGTTTGGACTGGACGGCAGTTGAGTTTTGAATTTGCCATTATATAGACATTTGTGCTTTCTCAGTGAATGTGTGGGTATTTTTACCCAAGAAGTCTTTAAGAGCAATCTGTAGACATTATTTTCCTTTGCTCTTCAGTTCTGTAGTATATCTTTTCATAAAAAGAAAAATTCTCATTATACATCATTGTAGCTTTTTAAAAAATTTTTTTAAATTTTTTTTGTTTGTTTCAGTGCAGTATACACGATTTATCCAGTTTTTCTCAGTCTCACCCCAACCCTGATATCAGTCCCATTTTACAGCAGTGGCACCATGCAATATTTATCCTTTTGTGACTGAGATATTTCACTCAGCATAATGTCCTCTAGGCTCACCCATTGTGAATAATATTGCATGAGTTCCTTGTTTTTCAATGCAGCATAGTATTCCATTGTGTGAACATACCACAGCTTCTCTATCCATTCGTTTGTTGAAAAAATTTTATTATTTTTAGTGTGTATACTGTCAAATTAGATCTGACTGGTACAGGCATTGTAGCATTTTTAAACCTCAGCAACTTTAGTCTTGATGGCATCTTGTATGAGTTTTCTCAATACTGTCCTTAGCTGCATTTCCCTCCCTAACCAGGAACATACATTCCATTTGTTTTCCTGGCTTTTCCTTTAATTGTTTTAAAATATATACTTTATTTTATTCCATTTGTTTTCCTGGCTTTTCCTTTAATTTTCTAAAAATATATACTTTATCTTATTGTGATTTTTAACAAACGTTTATAGAAAAGCTGGATTTTCAGGCATTCATTGTTGCACATTTTCCTCCCTCCCCCACCCTCAGTTCACCTTTTTTTAAAGTTTTCCTTAATATTCATGCACTGTTACCCATTGTCCTTCCCTTCTCCTCGCCCACTTTGCCACGCATCTCTTATTCCAGATTGTTGTCATACATAATGCCTAATCATATATTCCATTTTTTCCTTTACTCTGAAATCCCATTTTAGCCTTTTGGTCCTTGATGATGTTGATAATTTAAGAGTATGGGCAAGCTATTCCATAGAATGTTTGTCACCTTTTAGCTTTGTCTTGTATTTCCTCGTAATTGCATTCAAGCCATCTGTTTTTGACAAGAAAACAAGTCATTCTTTGCCATCTTCAATATTTCCCAAGTCCTGAGGCACAGGATGTCAAGTTGTGTTTTTTATTAGTGATGTCCACTTCAAAGTAATGACCACAAGGTTTTCTCCCTGTAAAATTACTATTTTTTTTCTTTTTGGTAATTTTTAATGTTCTAAACTGAGTACTTGTATAAGTAGCAGTTTCTTATCCAGCTTGTCAACCAGCAGTTGGAGTATCAATCAGTGACTCTAAAGTCCACAGCCACTGAGTCAGTTCTAACTCCTGGCAACTTGAATGACAGAGAACTGCCGCGAGGGCTTCTAAGGCTGTAAGGCTTTTTAAAAAAAAAATTTATTTTTATTATTTTTTGTGTATATACCGTCAAATCAGCTCTGACTAGTACAGGAGGAAATTGTCCCGCCTTCTCCAGCAGAGCATCCGGTGGATTTGAACCACTCACCTCTGGGATTGCACTGCGGCTTCTTGCCACTAGGCTACCAGAGCTCATTGAGGCTGTAAGTCCTTACGGAAGTAGATGCCGCCTCAGTCTTTATCCTGCAGCAGGCACGAACTGCCAACCTCGTAGTTCGCTGCCACGCTCCTGAACCACTGTTCCACCAGGGATGCTATGGATGAGTCTTGTCCACACCATTATTACTGATGGTGGCAAAAGTATATTTATAACATTTCGTTAACAGTTCTAGGCCCGATTTAATGAAAAAGTAATTGCTTCTCACTACTGTGTGGTACAAATACTCTTTTAAGAATTCCGATTTTTCATTACCTACAGGGCTTTTGAGAAAGAACTCACAACTCGTTACCAGCTGAACCAAAAATACATCTCAGGTATTGAGGTAAGTGCAGTTTGGGTAAAAAGACGCAAATCTGTGATTTGGGGTAAAAATTTAAGCTCTGATCACTCTCCAGTAAATTCTTAATTTTTTTTTACAGTAGGGAGTGTTTTGCTTGTATTACACTTCAAAACTCCAATATACCTTTAACATGTAGCATTTCTTAATATCCCTAAAACAAGGCCAGTAAAGCTACTCAAAGATCACTTTGAGTGATTTCTTTTGGCACATAGTTACTTTCTTTGCCAGGAAAATACATAGACTTAAGCAGAAAATGGTAAATGTAGAATGCATTTTGAATTGCATTTCTATAGCCTTTTCGTTTTAAAGTAGTTTTTGTTTTGTTTTTTTTTGTAAATTTTTGTGTGAGTGTACCGTCAAATCAGATCTGACTGGTACAGGAGGAGATTGTCCCTCCTTCCGCGGAGGAGCATCTCATGGATTCGAACCAGGTGTCTCTGGGATTGTAGTTGCAGCTCCTTACCACTAGGCCACCAGAGCTCCCCTAGTTTTAAAGTAGTTTTAACTCAGCAAAAGTACTTTGGTATCTTTTAAACTCTTTCAGAAAAAAATTCTCTTTTGGGCTTGTGGAGGGAGATCGCTATTGTAGTTCACTTTGGCTGCATTGCTGTCTTAACTTTAATTGGATAGAGTTAAAGACCTCACAGAGATTTTGAGTTACTACTGACAAAATGAATTATCCACTAATGGAAAAGAACAGTGATGCCATGTATATAACAGGAAAATGAAACAATTCTGTTTATGCAACAATGATATTGATAGAATTTCATTTCTGTTTACTTTTTTCCCAAATTCCTCTTTAGTACGGGAATCCAAATGGCGTTATCATTATTAACTTGATGCAGAATTCTTCTCAGAAAAGTCAAGATGAGGTGGACATAGCCGATGTGGCTTACTATTTTGAAAAAGACGTAGGTACAACCTTCCTGGTGCTGTTGCTGTGTTTACTGTTATGCTTCAGTGTGCTGCCCTGGTGCTGCTTTGTTCACTCAGAATTCCAAGCTTATTTCTCCTTCTTCTTCAAGTGGTTCTGCTGCTGCAGTTCCTCTTGTGCCTCCTTCTACTCACACTCACGTATGTGTTCTTTTTTCCATATTAAGGAGCCATAGTTCCTAAGATTCTGAGGCTCCGTCTGACATACTTTGGACATGTTGTGAGGAGAGACCGGTCCTTGGAGAGGGACATCATGCTTGGGAGGGTTGAGGGACAGCGCAGGAGAGGAAGGCCCTCTATGAGGTGGATTGATTCAGTGACTGGGATAATTGGGATGGGAGTGTCAGAGACAGTGCGACTGGCACAGGACAGAGTGGAGTTAGAGCTGTTGTACATAGGGTCGCTATGAGTCGCAAGCGACTCGACGGCACATAACAACAACAACAGTCCCTAACATGATAGGTGGCTAGCCAAAAAGCTCAGCAGCTGGATTCTGCTAGCTCGTCATTGGGAGATAGGGGGGCAGTCTCCTCTATGCAGCCTCAAAGCCTGCTGGATGGGTTGGAATCTGGGTTTGATTTGGGCTTGTTTGTTTGTGAGGTGGGGTGTTTGGGGTTTTTTCCCCTCATCCTGTTATTTTGTCGTCTCTGCCCTTGTCTTCTCTTTTACCCACTTACTAGTTGTTGCTTCAATTGTCTGTAAAATTATGCTCCCAGTCTCCAGGAAGAAGATGCCATGTAACAAGCGCTCCTTCATGTGATATTTTAAAAAATATTTTATTTAAACTTTAATACACTGTAGTATTGTCCTTGATGGCAAAATCTGGGGTTTGCATTTTAAAAACTGTGTCAGGTAGTTACCACTAGAGTTCTAAAAGAGTCTTCATAATCGTTCTTTTGCTATATAATTGGCAAGTTTTGTTTCGCTGTGGTTGGCATCTTACGTTTGAATTCATTCCTTTTTTTTCTCTTTTTTTTTAAATTTTTTTGGTTTTTTTTTTTTATTTTGGTTTTTTTGTTTTGTTTTGTTTTGTTTTTAATTCATTCTTATTCTAGGTGAAAGGTGAATCCTTGTTTCATTCCAGCAAAATGGACCTGCGAATAAACGGGGAACAACTGGAACTGGATCCTGGTCAAACGTTAATTTTTTACGTTGACGAAAAAGCGCCTGAATTTTCTATGCAAGGTCTGAAAGCGGGAATCATTGCTGTCATTGTGGTTGTGGTCCTCGCAGTCATCGCGGGAATTGTCGTGCTGGTGAGTACAGTGCCAGGAAATCAGTTCACTGAGAAGTGTGTTTCCTGCAAGAAAAGGTGAGGGGTGAAACGGCTCAGGTCCCAAAACACAGCAGTGAAGCGGAATTGGCATTGTCTTACTAGAATTCTCAGTAGTGCGTGAATCGTCTGCATTTCCTAGCAGTCACTTTATGGAACTAGAGGGAGACTAATCTGAGAGAAGCGTGCAGCTGGCAGGCCTTCTATTCCCCGGCCCCAGGCAGCCAGTTCCTCCCTATTGCAAACTGTGCAACAGATTAGTGCCCAATTACCTGAGGGCTGAACCACTCACTGAAACCAAACAAGAGAATGCAAAATGAAGATTATCATAGAGGAGACTTAACAGTGGTAAATATGAAGCAGCACTTCTTAAGTAAAAGACTAACCTGTTGATCGTAGCAGTACTTCAGAAGAGTAGGGGATGCCTTGAAAAGACAGGGCTTACTGTAGGGCTACACGGATGACTCAGCATCAGGAAATATTACCAACACAGCAGAATTTCAGAAATCAACTTAAAAGTACATGGGGACTTACGTTTTCCGATTAATGGAATGAACAGATTGGGTTATCTATCTAGAAGAAAACGAAAGTTGAATTTTCTATTTCACGCTCCCAGGGATGACTGACTCTGTGGCCCAGCTGAGAATGGTACAGTCACACAACACACAACTCAGTACAACAGTATCAGAGGAGTCGGGCAGCGTGTCCTGTGTCTGTGCTTAAAAAACTATTCCAAGTAGCTTATAGTTTAAAATGTAGAAAAAGAAAACCAGCAACAGTTTTAAGGATGCAATTCTTTTTCTTTTATTCAGGTTATTTCCAGCAGGAAGAGAACAGCAAAGTATCAGAAGGCTGAGGTAAATGGATTCCTTAAGTATTGAACCAGTGACTAGTTGTTATGGAACCAGTTCTAACTCAGTGAGCACACTGTGTAGAACTGGGCCCCCAGAGGGTTACCTGGCTGATTTCTTGAGACATTGGGAGGCTTTTTATCCCAAGGCTCTGCGGGTAGACTTGAACTGCCAACCTTTCAGTTACTTAAAAATGCTTCAATTTATCTGAAAGTGCTTCTTTAATGTTTAAATGTAGATTATATACTAAGACAAACATTTGACCCACTAGCATTATAGTTCCTATCTAATATCGTACCTAATTGTTCTGACCTTCACACAAATTTGACTTTAAATCAGATTTAGGAATTGAATTTGTTTGCTCTTTGAGGCTACATGTAATTTTTTTTTAAATCCCTGTGTAATTTCACACTCCCAACAAGTGACACCGTTTCTAGACACTGACTTCCATTACACTGGAGTCCCTTTAGAGCAGTTGTTAGGGTCTTTCCTTTTAAGGAGCTCTGGTGGTCGCTCTGAGTTGTAGTCAACTTGATGAGATGGTCTAGTGGGTTAGGAATTGCACTGCCAACTCAAAGGTAAGCAGTTCAAATCCACCAGCTGCTCCACAGGAGAAAGATGGAGGATCAGCTATAAATTGGTTCCAAATGAACAGTTATGAGTGAATGACTTCCTTTTAGAGGAGAGTCTTTGAAAGGGCCCTTACTGAAATCTCTACCCATGAATTTTATGTTCAATCCAAACCCACTGCTCTTGTCTCTCCTGATGGTTTTGGAGGCTGTAAATCTTATCTTTCCCTGTAGAGACCAACTACCAGTGTAGCAGCCCAACATGTACGTCACCAGGCCTCCTTAGTTTTATGAGAGACGACTTCATATTGTTTAGAAAACAGTAGACATTTATGAGTTTGATCTTAAAAGTATCAACATGTCATGTGCCGTTAAATTGATTCCCGTTCATCCCAACCCTGTGGGCTCAATAATATCACGACTGTGGTCTTTTTATATATGCCGCAAAGAAGCATGCTTATCAGAAAAGAGTCAAGTGTGGCTAGTGATGTGACTTGTTGCCTCTGCCAGTGAAGAAAATAATCCTCAACCTGAATTTATCCGTCTCACAATAAATCTCTTGTATACTCATGTGACATCACAAGTGTCTAATTGCTTGATAATGTGGTTCAGTTGCTTGGAGTTATGAATATACCTGTAACTGCACCTTACCAGTTAACATTTTCAGTGTGTCTGTCAATTTTTGTATATTTATGTGCTTATTTGTAATTGTGTATGCGGTAAACCACCATGAGACATTTCAAAAGGACTCTCACAGAGACTTCCTGGAATCCACAGTTCTCACCTTTTTCTCCTCCCACCCCCGTCACGGATAATCTGGACCACACATCTGGAGGACCATCCCCGAGTTGAATCCTAATAGTTGAGCAGAATGATGCCAGGCAGGGGGTGATGTGGACTTCAGTTTAGGGGTTTGGTGATGGGCAGTTGCTTTGCTTTTTTTTAAGTATTTAACATTATGCCATCTATAAGATGAGGATAAGACCAATCTGTTGTAAGGATTAGAAATGTCGCTTCTGTGAACTGTTTGCAGAAGGTGGTCTGTATCAGCATAGGGACCTCACGTGGCTTAACCCATAGCCCTCACCTCTCCGGCGATTCAAATCCACCAGTGACTTTGAACTGTTTCCTCACCTATGTAGATTGGTAGTAGACAACAAATGCCTTCTCCCTCACTGTAAATATTGTGTACATTTCGTTCTTACATCCTTTGGAAAGATCTAGCAGAAGTGCTTCCTCTGTCACCTTGGCCATCTTATCTCTCACTAGCAGTCTGGATCTTGTACTTCCTGGTCAATTCAGCATTTCCTTTTTTTTTTTTTTTTTAAGGATTGTCAAAGGTGGAAGATGGCCATCTGTGTTCTTTTATGGTTTTAAAAAAACTTCTAAAAATTAACAAAGTAAAAAAAAAAATAAAAATTAACAAAGTGTTGGAAAATCATAATTAAGAGTGTTTTCACCTCCCCCCCCATTTTCCCTCTTTTTCAGATAAAGGAGATGGGTGAGTTGCGTAGAGAGAACTAAAGCATAACTCCTGTAATACGAAGAGAAACTACAAGAAGGGAGATAAACACGGACTCACACGTTTAGGCACTTGTAATCCCAGTAAAGAAGATTGAGGATTATGTTAGTTCACCTCATCTCTTTGTAATAGTGAATCTTGTATAAACAGCGGGCAGTTGGCCTTGCTGTTGTTTTGTTGTTATGTACAATTGGCCTTACCAATCTTAAAATTTGACCACAAATAGCTGTTTCTGCAGATCCAATGCAAAACCCAGAATTGTGTACTGCAAAGTTAAAATTATTTATGTACATCTTTGCGGCATATGCATTAAATAATGCTTCCACAGTAGAGTTCGAATGACTATGCCTCATACATTTTGTGATTGAAAGCTGCCTTTCTACTTACTTTTTTGAATCTTGTACATATTATTTTCTCTTTAAACTTTTTTTTATGAATTGTGAAATAAAAACATTTTAAGTGGAATTTCCTAATTTGTTTTAATCATTTGTTCAAATTTCATAGCAGACAAAATAAAACAGGGTTAAGAATTATCCTGAACACCCACCACACATTAGTTTTACATTTCTGCTCATAGTTGTGCATTGTTGTTGTTGTGTGTCGGTAAGTCAGAATCGACTGGCATAGAGGCTGGGATTTCCAACACATGATTTAGGAGGACATTATTTCATAACAGTATCTGATAAAAAGAAAACTTCCTGTTGTTAGGTGCAGTCAAGTACATCTCATAGTGACCCTGTGAACGACAGATCTGAACCCTGTCCTATCCTGGGCCATCCTCCCCATCTCTGATTCACTTGAGCCTATTACTGCAGTGACTGTGTCAGCCTGTCTTGGGAGGTCTTCCTTTTTCACTGATCCTCTACCTTTCTAAGCATGATATCCCTTTCCAAGGAATAGCCTCTTCTAGCAACATGTCCAAAGTATGAGATCACACTCTCTCCTCCTTGCCTCCAGGAGGCACTCTGGTTACATCTTTTCCAAGACATACCTGTTAGTTCTTTTGGTGGCAGTTCATGTGATACTCAGTACTCTTCTACAGCACCACAACTGAAAGGCATCAGTTCTTCTGTCATCCTTACTCATTATCTCACTCTCAGATGCATAACAAGTGACTGAAAAGACCATTGCCTGAGGCAGGTGCACCTTAGTCTTCAAAGTGGCATCATTACTCTTCAGTATTTTGGAGCGGTCCTTGCCTGCAGACTTGCCCAAAGCAATAAGTCTCCTTATATTCTCACTGCTGGTACCAAGGGTGTTAAATTGAGGATCCAACTAAGAGAACATCATTGACAATTTCAAGTCTTTATCCATCTATCGTGGTCTATACAGAAACTTTTGTACAAGTCTAAGCTAGATTCTGAAGAGGTCATAGAAAGGGGGGGAATAGCATTGCTGATGTCAGGTGGATCTTGGTTGAATGCAGAGAATACTAGAAAGATTTACTTGTGTTTTATTGATTATGCAAAGTTACTGGACTGTGTGGATCATCAGACATTATGGCTAACATTGAGGAGAACGGGAATCCCAGAACACTTACTCTGCTTATGAAGTCTATACACAGATCAAGCAGCAGTGTTCAGAATAAGGAACACTACATGGTTTAAAATCAGGAAAGGTGTGCATCAAGGCTATATCCTTTTCCCACACCTATTTAATCTGTGTGCTGTGCAAATGCTTTGAGAAACTGGAGTATATAGAGAAGACTGTTTGGTAGCCAAAATAATAAGAAAACTGAATAAAGATAAATATCCATCAACCGAGGGCCATAGAAAATGCAGTATATCCACAGAATGAAATCTTATTTGGCAACAGAGTGGGTGAACCTTAGATAAATGGTAAGTGAAAGAAGCTAGTCACAGAAGACCACATTGCATATCATCCCATTTGTTGGAAGTGTCCAGAAGAGACGAATCCACAGAGATGTATGGTAGATGGGCTGGGAGAGCAGGATGACTGAAGGGTAACTGCTGATGGGCCTGGTTTTCTTTTTGAGGTGACAGTGTCACAATGCTGTGAATATACTAAGAACCACTGAATCGCACACTAGGGATGTCTTGAAGAAGGTGCAGCCGGAGTGCTCCTTAGAGGCAAGGATGATGATGTTGCGTCTCACATACTTTGGGTATGATTCTAGAAGAGGTTATTGAAAAGAGGGACATGATACTTGGGAAGATGAAGGGGAGGCCAAGGAAAAGAAGACCTTCTACCAGGTGGGTTTGATAGAGGGACTGCAGCAACGGGCTTGAGTGTGTCAGAGACTGAGGATGGCATGGACTTAGTGTTTGAATCTGTTGTGCATAGGGTGGCTAGGAGTTGCACTCGACTCAATGGCACCTAATAGCAATGGGTGAGTTATATTGCAAATGCTTGGTTTTTGTTTTTAAATATTTTGTGTGTGTGTGTGTGTGTGTGTGTGTGTGTGTGTGTGTGTGTACCATCAAATCGTATCTAATTGGTTCAGGAGTAGATTGCTCCTCCTCCAGCAGAGCATCTGGTGGACTCAAACCACACACCTCTGGGATTGCAGTACAGCTTCTTGCCACTAGGCCACCAGAGCTCTCCTGGTTGGTTTGTTTTTTAAAGTACACTTTCTAGGACCATTTCTACAGCTCTAGTTTCAAAAAACAGTTAACTAACAGAAAACTATGTTCATCAGTAACACAGTTAACAGCTCTTCTAACTAGTATGAACAAGAGGTCGGGAGCACTGTTGGTCTAGTGGTAAGAAGCTATTCTCCCAAAGGCAGGTAGCTGGAATCCACCAGCTGTTTGGCAGAAGAAAGATGGACAGTCTCCTCCTCCCATGTGATTTACTGCCTCTGAAAACCCACTGGAGGGTCAGCTATAAGTCACTTTTGACTCAATGGCAGTGAGAAATCTTAAAAGAGATTTGGAAAACAGAATGCTGATGAAATGAATGTTGAATAGAAATTACTCAGAGAAACACTGTTACAGAAAATGGAATTAACAATAGTGTGTGTGTGTGTGTACCATCAAATCAGATCTGACTGGTACAGGAGGATATTGTCCCTCCTTCTCCAGCAGAGCATCTGGTAGATTTGAACCATGCACCTCTGGCATTTCAGTGCAGCTTCTTGCCACTAGGCCACCAAAGCCTCCCAGAATAATCTTCTTTAAGATTAAGTTCATGTATTTTTAAATGTAATCTATTGGGATGGCAGGATCTTTTATGTCTGCTTTCTTGTCTCCTCTGATAAAGGTCACTGTAAGGAATTTTGGAAAATATATGAGGAAATTTAAAACTCTATGCGAGGGTAATGCTTTTAATTGTACTCCGTCAACCAGTCATGCCATGTCTTGACAGTTATATTTTTGCACAAGTCTTCTCACTAGATATTTTTAAAAATTCATAGTTTCCCATGTGGGCTAGAAAGGATATGAAATTTCTGTAAAACATGACAATTTGATATATAACTTTAAATAGAAATTTAGCATGCGTAATTCATGCACAGGGTTTTTGAAAAAGTATACTGTTAAAACATCTCAGAGAAAATGATTACAAGCACATGTTAAAGTCTAATTTAAAGCTCATTCCCAAATGGGCTAATTTAAAGATCACTTTTCTCAAAGTTCTTTTACAGGAAACAAGACTGTTAAGATCACTGTTACAAGGCTGGATACAGACTAAAAGAGTGTCTAGAATCAGCTACTTATTAGACTGGTTATCTGTCACTCTCCTTTGCCAGGGCTGACAGAGGAATTTTCTATATTTTATGGCCATTAAAATCTATTAGAGATGAACACAATATGAATATAGAAATAGGAAATGTACATCAATGATACACAAGGTATATGAATTTTGTGTGCAAATGAAAAAAATCTACCAGAGATGCAAACTAACAAAAATAAAAGTGTATCAGTGATAACAATGTTGTTATATGCTGTCCAGTTGCAACTGACACGTAGCTTACCCTCCAATGGGTTTTGAAAGGCTGTAAACACACCAGAAAGGATTGCCTATCTTTCTCCCTCAGAGCAACTAGTGGATTCAAACTCTGTGCCTTTGGGTTGGCACTGCAACTCCTGACCACTGAGCCACCAGAGCTCCCCAGAAATGGTAACAATGTGCAAAACAAAAAGGGCAGTTAGCAGCCTCAGAAAGCATCCTGGTGGTGCCCTGGATCAAGCATTGGGCTGCTGACCGAAAGGTCCATGGTTTGAAACCACTGTCTCTCTCTTTGAGGAGAGAGGCAGTCTGTTCCCATCAAGATTTATAGCCTTGGAAACCCAAGAGCACACAGTTCTACTTCACCTTCTAGGATTGCTGTGAGGTGGAACTCATGTGACGGAACGGTATTAATCAATCACACTACACAGCTCAGGTCTGAAGCACCTTTTCTTTCCCACGACAACACTGTAAGCAAAACAAGCTTCCATTCCTGCTGTTGCTTTTAATCCTCCCCAGAAGCATGAGATGTTAGCAGTTTTCCTGTAAAAGGTACACACTCTTTCAAGACCCATTTCTAGCAGCCATGTGTTTTACTTTTAAACTCTATATATATTCTGAAAGGGAGGTCTAGCTCTTATTCTGCAATGGGCTTGGTTTAACTTTGTTCATTTTTGAAAACAGACACAAATTTTAAAAGTTTTAAAAAATAGACACAAATCCATTGCTCTTTCCTAGATGAAGTCAAACTCCTTTGCATTAGGACTCTCATCCTCCTTTCTTAAGTCTAGCTTTGTTAATCTGCAAGAAGTGCTTAAATTTTGACATTTCCTGAAGCTCTCACATTATCTTAAATTGTTTTCTAGTATCCAGGAGCTCTGATGGCTTAGTGGTAAGAACCTTCACTACTATCCCAAAGGCACACAGTTCAAATCCACCAGCTGCTCTGTGGGAGAAGGAAAGACAATCTCCTATATGAATAACTGCCTCTGAAAACACTGGGCCAGTTCTGACTCAATGATACACAACAATAATAACAATCTCCGAGTCCATGAGTCTTTCAGTGACAAAAACAATAACAACCTCTGACAGT